CAAATTATTTCATATATAAATATTTCCCTCTGAAAGTGTAAGTCTTGTAAAGCTGAATGTATTTGTTTTCATATTATGTTAATATACTCAGAACATATAGTATGGCATGTATCACAACACTGGTATTCAATGACTATTTTTGCATTATTGTTTTTTTAAATATATTTTATTGATTTTTTTACAGAGAGGAAGGGAGAGAGATAGAGAGCTAGAAACATTGATGAGAGAGAAACATCGATCAGCTGCCTCCTGCACGTCTCCCACTGGGGATGTGCCTGCAACCCAGGTACATGCCCCTGACCAGAGTTGAACCTGGGACCCCTCAGTCCACAGGCTGACGCTCTATTCACTGAGCCAAACCGGTTTCGGCGCATTATTGTTTTAATTAATGAATATATTGACACAGTTTGGGGTTTTGTCTAGCCAATAATAAAGAGAATGTTACTTTGATTTTCTTTGATTCCCTTGTAGCTTACACATTATTTTTTAAAATTGATTTTTAGAGAGAGGAAAGGGGAGGGAGGGAGGGAGAGAGAGAGAGAGAGAGAGAGAGAGAGAGAGAAAGAGAGAGAAAATCATGGATGTGAGAGAGAAACTGTGAGAGAGAAACATCAATTGGTTGCCTCACACACACACCCGACAAGGGATCAAACCCACCACCTAAGTAGTGCCTTGATTGAGGGATCAAACCCGCAACCATTTGGTGCATGGGATGATGCTCCAACCAACTGAGCCACTTGGCCAGGGCAGCACACACATTGTTTAGGGTTATGTTCCTAAGGTTCTATGGTCTACAGCTGAATTTGGATACTCAGGGTTTCCTAAGTGTGATAAAAATTTGGAAAACCTTCAAAACTAACATATCTTCAAACAGAATGCTTCTCTGCCTATATTTTGGCTTTCTTGCTTAAACATTTTTTGTATTATGGAAAATTCAACTATATAAAGCAGTAGAGAGAACAGTGCCATGTATCAACAGTCCAGCTTTAACAATGATCAATTCATGGGCAATTTTGTATACCAATTACTTAATATTACATGATCACTGCATTATTTTGAAGTAATCTCAGACATCATATCATTTTTACTCATAATTTATTATGAAAATCTACAGT